TCCTTCGATTTTATGTGAATTCTGTATATGCAAATTCACTCTTATGCAATGACCCTTTTTATACCCCAAATTCGTTATATGCAAGATAAATTAACTCTTATGCGATTGGCATGGGTGAGCCCCCCCCCGCCACCCCAGCAGGTAAGTCTGTGGTGGGAGGGGAAAGGGCCATGGGGCCGGGGCCCCAGTCACCCCAGCCCCTGCTGCAACTGCTCTGGGAGCAGCCAATGCCAGCGACCCGCAGCCACTGGGCTGCACTGTGTCTCGAACCCCCCTGGGCTCCACTTGTCACCACTCACCCCAGCTCCTGGGATGCACTGTGCCGTGGTGTAGGCAGGTAGTGTTGGCTGCTCCTGGGGCTGCTGCAGCAGGGGCTCAGGTGAGTGGGGAGAAGCAGAGGCCCAGGGCTGCAGCAGGGAACAAAATGGGAGGGCTGCGCTGGGCTCTTCCCCGGGGTGGGGGGCATGCCCCTGGATCTACACACGGGACAAGAGCAGGCTGCTGCTGCTGGCTGGGGCCGATGGCAGCACCAGACTTTTTCCAGAGCTCGGGGCGGGTGGCAATGCTGCAAGAGCAGCTGCTGCCACACCAAAATTCGCCGTAGCTCCTCCATCCTGCCCTTCCAGCACCACCATCAAGCACCGGGAAGAACTCGGTGCCACTGCCCACCCCAACCTGTGCTGCAACGGCAGCCTGCTCTTGTCCCGTGTGCAGATCCAGGGGCACCTGCCCCCCTGGGAAGAGCCCAGTGCAGTCCTGCAGCCCTCCCTCTTTGCCTCCCCGCAGCGCAGCTTGTCTGCACTCACTCTGGCCCCCACTGCAGCAGCCCTGGGAGCAACCAGTGCCAGCTGCAATGGGAACTGTTAGTGGGGACAGGGGGAGCAGGGTGCACCTCTTTCTGCTCCGCACTCCCCAGGAGGGCTGCAGGCTAGGGGGCTGTCAGGCTCTTTCTGGGGAGCATGTGCCCCTGGATCCACATGCGGGTTGTCAGCAGGCTAATACTGCAGGCTGAGGCTGGCAGCGGTATCAGGCTGGCTCATCCCGGCATTCAGTGCACCTGCCCCGACTGGCCCCAGCCTGCAACAGCAGCCTGATGTTATCCTATGTCCAGATCTGGGGGCACTGGGCTGTTCCCGGTGCTCAGTGTGCACACCCTGAGCATCGGGAAGAATCAGCTTGGTGTCACTGCTGGCCCCAGCCTACAGCAGCAGCCTGGTGTCATCCCACATGCAGATCTGGGGGCACGTGCCACCAGGAAGAGCCCAACACATCCCCCTAGCCCACAGCCCTCCCGAGAGGCACGGAGCAGCAAGAGGTGTGCCCTGCCCCCTCCCCTGTACCCCCCTGACAGTTCCTGTTGCAACTGGCTCTGGTCACTCCCGGGACCACTGCAGTGGGGGCTAGGTGGAGTTGAGGGCAAGCTGTGCTGCATCCTACACCACCCAGGCCTCCGTTTGCTGCCACTCCCCCCAGCCCCTGCCGCAGTGACCCTAGGAGCAGCCGACACCAACTGCCTGCACCACAGCATGGCACAGCCCAGAAGCTGGGGTGAGTGGGGATAGGTGGAGCACAGTGCAGTCCTGGGAACAGCACCCCTCTCCCCACCCTTTCCCTAGTCCCAGCCTCCCTCCCTCCTTCCCTCCCTCACCGCCTTGGGAACCTATCCCTATTTGTTACATTACAAAAGGGAGTTTTTTATGCAAGGGAAACCTGTATAGCCTATGGTCGAATCTCTGAATCAGCCCCAAATCTGTCAAAATTGATTTGGAGGTTTCTGATTCAATTTGGATTCAGAGATTGGGCTGCTGAATCGAGCCAAATCTCCTCTGAATCAAATCGACTACTGAAGCTTTGCACAGGCCTGCTTATTACTGTGTATGCTTAACTTGCGTCATTGCTACAAAGGTGAAGCCTAGGTCAGGATGTAACATGACAGTCTGTTACCTTGAGCCCATGCTGCACAGGCCTACATATGGGATCCCCCTATCACACAATTTTCACCAGCAGCATGTAGGACCTCTTGCTGTGCATGCTGAACTGGCAGCACATGACCCCCACTGCCATGCAGGCTCCACAGGCATTGAATGGACCCCTGGGGTCTACCCAGCTGTTCAGCAGTGGGAGAGGCTGCTGCTATGACCCATGGGTTGCATATTAACCATTTGCAGATTATGTGCAGCCCCCACGCTGCCAGTTGGATAGCCCTTATGTTTACAGTGGGCCTACAAATCAGCATTGCTGTAGCTTCTCTGTATATTTGTTTTAATTTTCCAGTGCCACAGTGTTCCAAATATTTATTCTTTTCTATGAAATAGTTCGGATAAACATAAAAATACTTGACTGACCAGAAATAAATTTAGTTTTAATGGCAATGAAAATTATACTACATATGATCTTCCTAATTGTTTGAATCTAATACTCACCAGTTTAAATTTGTTCTGAGCTAGTCTTCTGCTCTGGTTTGGTATAGCCACTTTCAGATGTTACCTGCTTGCATTCATTGGCTAGCATATTTCATCTGTTTTGTGTTTTGTTTTTTTTCCCTAACAGCAGCATATTAACTTCAGAAGATGAAGTTTATATAGGGTCAGGTTTTCACATGGTGTAAATTAACACAGCTCTTACTTTAATGGACCTATGTTGATTACAATCTGCCAAAACTTGTAGTGCCTAGGATTATGAGTAATTTAATATTGGCAAAGAATGGTATCATAGAAAAGTAGAGCTGGAAGGTATCTCAGGAGATTGTCTGGTCCAGCCTCATGCTCAAGCAAGATCATCCCTATCAGTATCCTCCTGGGCCTAACCTATTCTTAAAAACTTTGTGAACACCCCTCTCTCTCAACTACTGGGCAGCGTGTCCAAAATGTAACAAAAACCCCAAACCCCAAAAATAAACAAAAAACCCTAACTTGAAACGAACAAACCAAAACCCAATGAAGCAAACCCAAATTGCTTCAGTAATAACTTTTTATTACTGAAAGAGCTTGCAAGTACACTTCTGGTTGGAAATAACCAAAGAAGAGCATCTTACTCAACAAACCTGCAGCATTTGTATATTTAGTAATGGTTGTTGTCTCAGTAAAACTGGCAGTAAATGTTCAAGACTCTCAATGCTGTAAAATTAGGCAGAGCAACTCAAAGGAGCAACATCGAGGAACATCTTAGTTTGTTCCAATTCTAGTGGAATAGGAAGTGTAGATTACAGATAGTTTATACTGATACCATATTTATAGTTGACAAACATAACCGTTGTAAAAATGTATATGTTTTGAGTTTTGTCATTTATTATGTGGAATACTAAAGACATTACAGAGAAATCATTGCGCTAAGAAATCTGTATCTTAAGAAAATATCTTAATTTTTATTATTTGAGGTGCTTCATTTTATCAATAAAATGACCCTCCCCCCGCCATTTGGACCAATTACTGCTCGACCTCCAATGGTAAATTTTTGTATGTTTACAGCTTTTTCATGGTATGTTAAATGAACGTGTCTGCCATGTCTTGTGAAATTCTGTTTTTGTTTCAGCTACCGATTTTTGCTAGTCATTGAAGGGCTTAGCTTGGTGTCTGAGTTAGGTTGTATATGTCTGTTGTCTTTCAGAAATAAAATGAGGTTACTCTAGCAATATCAGAAATAAAACTGTTGACCATAACTTTAGAACATGAAGAGTAATAGAGATTATAGCAGTGGGGACAGTATCTTTAGTAATCAAAAGAAAAATTAAATGTAGCTATAGTCCTTCCCCTGTTGATTCACTGAATAACTGAAACATGAGATATTCTTTGACCTGCACATACTTTGATCTGTGCATTCACTGAGAATTTGAATGAAATTCAAACTACTGATGTGATTATATGGAGTTTCTGGGTTTTACTTGCTTTGCCCCAGGACTGGTTTTGGTGATGAAGACTGTTTCTTTGCTGTGAATCAGATGAGAGAAGGACTGCCACAATCCAGGGCTTTCCAACTGGTGGCTTTTAAGAGCTTAACACCCAGCTCAGCTTGTGGAGTTCTGCCCAACAGCCACTCCTCCATTGCTTCTACTTCTGCTGCCAGGATATCTGGGCTCCCTCTTCCTAATTCAGTTTTTGCTCCCTGCCCTCTTCTGAGCATAGCCCACAAGTTAAGATAGGAAGGGAGCTACTGTAATTCCTACTGCCTAAGGGTAGGTTATTAGGTCAGGGGTGGGCAAGATGTGGCCTGCCAAGCCATTCTATCCGGCTCATGGGGCCCCTAAGAAATTTAGAAAACGATTATTTATCTGCCCCTGACTGCCTGTCATGCGGCCCTCGATGGCTTGCCAAAACTCAGTAGGTGGCCCTCCACCCAAAATAATTGCCCACCCCTGGTATAGTTTCATTTAACTTGAATTGACATATATCTGTTCGTGCTGACCATTTAGTGGATAGCTGATATACAGGGTCACACTGCCCAGGGAACTCAGGTGGAGTATTCTGGGAATTATTACCTTGTGCTTCAGTTCTACAGAATTGAAAATTGCATGCGTTTTTGGATGAAAATTGGTAACAATTGGAAAGGCCTAGTCCTCTCTTCTAAGCAGCATCTACAAGACACTTCAGTGTCTTCATTTTGTTTTGACTTCAGCACCATGTGATACTGTCCTCTTTTGGTTCGTTCAAGTTGTTGTGTCCTTTACTGTCAAGATTCCTAAAATCAGGTATGGGTTTATTTTCAAGGAAAACTGATTATCACAGTCTTCTGGTATAGATTTTGTCTTTGTAATTGATAAGTAATCCTTATCACACCTGTTGCAAGCTGTTACCCATTTTTTTAAGAAATCGAGAATTTGTGGCTTGTGCAAAACCAGAGGAAATTCAGAGTAAACTGAAGTTTGAATTTTGGAGCCTCTGGCTCCTTGCCATGTGTTTGTACCATATCCCTTTTTGTAAGGCCATAGCACTCTGAATGGAAAAGTAATTTCACAGAAGCTGGTCATTTTCCCTTATTTTGTGAAATGGTCCAATTAGTGTTCTTCCCTCATTTCAGTTTGAGGAGAGTAGCATTTTGCTAGTATCTCTGAGTTTTAATTGAGTTTTCTAAAGGTCAGTGACTAAAAGCTACAATATTTCTTTCTTTCCCTTTTCTGATTAGTATGAAGAATATTTGCCAGTGCCTGCGCCACCTCCCCCAATCCCACCACTGCCTCCCGAGGAACCTCCTTTGCCTGAAGAGGAGGAAGATCAAGTAACTAGCGGTGAAGAGTCAGAATATGAAAGTGATGATGAGGCAGAAAAAAAGAGGTTTGTAACTATAGTCAGTAAAAGGCTTTTTCATAAGCTTTTTTCCCTTAATATTTCAGTCCAGCAGAAATCAGTCTTTGCATCTCGTGGCCTCCAGAAACATCACTTGTGAGTACGGATGTGCATAACAATTAAACTGTTCCAAAGTGTCACTGTTTGGGAGCTGGTTCACAATTGTCACAGGTTAGAGGGGTCCATGCATGGACTGTATTTTAACATCCCAGGTGGAACCAGGTACCTTTTAGATGTTGAAGTGCTGTGGCTCTGGTAGGGGTGGGAGTGAGCACCTAGCCCAGGATGATTCCTAGTCTGTCGCTAGTGAGGAGAGTGCTTGTACCTACACTTTGGGTAGGTGACCTTTAGCTAGAGGCATTTACAGTTGTTTTTTTTTTTTCCTGCTTTCTCTTCTGAACGTAAGTTCAGTAATGTTCATAGCCTGCACTTGACCCACCTCTGACTTGAGATGCCTAGAAGCAGGGTGGAGGGGGGGAGTTGGACTCACATTTTTGGGTTCCCAGTAGTTGGGTGAGGCACCATGAGGGGCCATGTCAGATGGGGAGTGAGGACACAGCTGGCTCTTATAAAGATAGTTTTTATTGAACAAGCAGCGCAAGGGAATTCATTGATTAAAAAAAGTGTCAACAAAAAAGCCGGGGTGTGGAGGGGTAGTAGAGTTCTGGCCATGTACTAGAGCGGCCAGTTACAGAAACAGTGGAGGTGAATGATGGATGCAGTGTGGGATGCCTTGAGGATCAATCGGGCCCATGTCATGGAATGATTGATGTCCACTTGAAACACTAAACCAGCTCACAAGAATACTTGGTTTTCTAGATACACTTCTGCACCTTTCCTGGAAGCTTTGAAACCTGTTTAATAGATTTCTTCAGGTTTAAGCTTCACTTCAGGTTTAAGCTTCACTAAAACTGGCATAGGTGTTATATATGTCCCTACCTTGTGTGATCAGAAGCTCCTCATCTATTCTTGCATGTAGTGGTTTTGCCAAACAGCTTTAAAGAAGTTATGGTCTTAATATATTTTCCAAGGCAGAGAGCACTTTTAGGGTTCAGTCAGCATAATGAAGAAAGTGCTTACGTAGCCCAAACTGTCATTATTGGCTTCCTTACATTTGCGCTCTTCCAGTCCTTTCCAAAACGGATTCAGAAGAATCTTTTTTTATTGGCGAAGATGTAGGTAATCTAGTTTATGGCCTGGGACTTGAGATGCTAGATTTCCAGCCATCCTAGCTCTGAGTAGTCACCCTCATGGATTTGCCAGTTGAATATGATGCATGTGTCCTCCCTTTGTCTTGGTGAAGCTTGGTTTTGGATTTTAGATTACTGCTTAACTCTATGATATTTATGGAAGGCTGAACTTTCTCTACCTGTTGTCCTGCAGTGAAGCCAGTGTGTAGGGTTGTCTGACTTCTAATGCCAGAAATGGATTATGTATGATGTACTGCATATACATGGCTAAGCCTTTAGTACAGTTTATAAAAACATTGGTTGCCTTCCATCTGTTGCTTCCAACCCCTCAAAAAGTTTAAATTACTTGAATGACCAAGTCTAGCACTTAAGCAAAGTAACATTAAAATAGTTTGTTTGAGTAGTTTATTTTTTTAGAGTCATAATTTATTAATGAGACTTTTATATTTCTACATACTATTACCAGATTAGTTTTAAACTGTTTTACAAAGTAGCATTATTAAATGAACATAAGTAATGTTTAAGAGACAGTTGGTTAGAACTTCACATTTGTAGGATAGAGGTGATTGATGAAGTGATTTTGATAGTCACTTTTAATTGCTTTAAATCAGCAAGCAGGGAATCTTGATTTAAATAATTTATTTTAATCTTGTTTAGCATTTGTACTTTTTTTAAATTACTTTCCTAAAACAAATGTTCATTTTCATTATATTTTGTAACTGTTAAGCATATTGATTTCCAATCAAATTTAGTCTATACATTGCATTTTATACTGTTTTTGTTTAAAGAGGCTATCGTGTATACATTTATCTAAGCAATTAAAAAAAATAGTGTACATTTATTCAGTTTCTTAATTTTATTTTTATTCAGTAGTAGGACTTTTTTTTAAATATGGGATTTGTCAAGCCACATTTAGATGGAAATTAGAATTTTAAATGTGCACAAACTACCTTAATAATAAATAATTAAGATGAAATGTAGTTATTTTGGATGTTTTTATTATGTTCAAAATTTAGAATAACAAAATTAATGGAATTAGCAACCCTTCAACCTAAAAGACCAATAACCACAAAGAGGCGTGGTGTGAGAAAAAAGCGAAAAATTAAAGACTTACTGAATGTCCCCCCACCGGCTTCCCACAGGTTTGTATGATCTGATCATTTCTTTAGTGCTTTTCTTGTGCTGAGTAAAAGTAGTGACTATAAGACATGCCCCATGTTAGTAATGTAACTAAGGGTGGGCAGCCAGGTCATTCAGTAAAGGGAGGGTGCTAGAATGGAAGCAGAGAGACTTGAAACTCTGGCTGTGCAGGGTCATGAGTCCCTTCATCAGCCACAGTGGGAGATGTGACTGTTGCAGGTGGAGGTGTCCTGCCCCTGTTCTTCATGCCTGGAGCCTTGAGCCTCCGGCATCCATTCCAGTGCTGCAAGGCAGAAACTTGACCAGTTACACCTCTGCTCTGTGACTATTCAACAATAATTCTTATACCTTTAAAACATCTAACTTGCAGAGTCCTGCTTCAGGTTAATGGCCTGAAATATGTGTTTAAATCAGTAGGACCTGTCTGAACAGATGACATTTGCATCTTATTTTAAGAGCTCAAGACTTGAAGCTGGTTTGATATCAAGTTAGTGTCATAGTTATAGTTTCTATAGTCAAATTCCTATTTCCCCTTTATTTCTGTCAACTGATTTAAGTGCCCTGGCCTGAAATAAACTGTTACAAAACTCCAGATCATTCAGCTGCCATATCACAGCCAGAGTTGAAGTGTGAACCTGAATTTGAGAGTTGGGTCATTTCTAGTAGCTGTAGATGCACATAACAATCAACTTTTGTTTAAATGCCTTGACTTCTCCAATTTTATACATATTTCATATTGATTTACTATTAAATATGTTTGCTTTGCAAGAGCAATGTATATTTCTCCCTGCACACGTAGAAAAAAAATACAGTATAACCTCATAAATCTGGATATAAAAAATCTGGCACTTCCCCCCCGTTGCTCTAGGACTGGCGGCTGCTCCCCTCTGCCCTCTCAGACGAGGGGGGAAGCTTGCATGCAGCAGCTGCCACTGCCATTCACCACCCTGCACTGCCGCTCTGTGTGCAGCCGCTGCTCCGGGACCAGCCACTGCGCCAGTTTAAAAAATCCAGTATTTTCAAATTTCCGGCAGGCACTCATTCCTGAGAATGTTGGATGTATGAGATTAATACTGTATATATTTAGCCTATGAACTTCACTTTATAAATCTACTGGATACAAAAAAAAAAACATGGACTAAATATAGACATTGAATTTATGGCATCTGCCTGCAATCCTATAATCCCAGGTAACCTCTCTACATTTAACCAGCTACATTTTATTACCGGTCAACATTCCACTCTTTTGTGTGTTGTGTCCCTCCACCTCCTCACCTACCTTCTCACCCATTAACTCCTGTCCTCCTGATCTTCCCTGCCACACATTTGCATGTTTGCAGACCTTCATTTTGCATATTGGCTTAAGGTCCTATTTGACTTTAGAGAGTACACACACCAGCAGACTCTCCATATGCCTGAAGAAAGGATACTTGTGCCCAAAAGCTTGTAAAGAACAGTTTTTTCATCTATTCAGTTGGTCTAATAAAAGATAGCACATTTACCAAAAGAACCTGGTTTGCCTATATCCTTAGACAAACACAGCTACAACCAACACCCCCAAAACTTGGAATATTAAGAAACTAAAGGTAGATGTGGTTTAGAAATAAGACTCATACTACTGCATATATATTCTTTGACGCATTATTTTGGAATAACAGTTTAGTTTTTAAATGATTAACATGTTATTATTTTAAACAGTAATTTGCACCCTGCACTATCACCTTCAGATGTGTTTGAACAACTCCAACCTGTAGGCCATAAAAAAATAGAGTTTCATATTACTGCAGACATCCCAATTGTTCTTCAGAAAAGCTTGGAGAGAGAACAAAACAACGGTAAGAAAGCTAACCCTTTAAATTCTTTTGTTATGCAGTTTGAAATATTTTAACATTTGAACAACAATCAAGTTCAATATTTTTTACATTGTGTCAAATTAGGATTAGTGATTTACATTTGCTTAATAAAATGTGAATTTCCTTTAAGGATTTCACAGGTTCATAGATATTAAATACATTTAAAATGCCACTTGCAGATCTTTTACCCCCCCCCCCCGTTGGAATGCTGGATGGGCAACATTTTAAAACTCTAGGATGCTTAGCACTAGAAAACATAATGTCTGTGTTTACTGAAAGTGGATTATGGGCTTTATTTCTTTTTCTTTTCTTTTTTAAATCTTACAGCATTTAAGTCAAGTGGGGAATAACAACATTTAAGGGCATTTCTAGTGTGTGATTATAGTGCTTTTTTTAGACGGGACAAAAACAGCCTTTTTGTGGTTTCTGCTCCTCATGTGGAATGCCCCTATATGTGCTTCACTAATATACTCCATTACTTTTTATAATGCTGCAGCAGGAACGTTTCTTATGGCATCGTCCTTAATTCTATATTTCCCAATGTTTTATAGTTTTTTATGAAGTTCCTTTAGATACCTTTACAGAACAAAGCAAAAAACATTACAAACTCAATAATGCCAGTGGTGGCCAGAGAGAGAATGGTGTCTGTACCTTGCTTTGTGTGTTCCTTTGCTGTTTTCTGTAAAGTATGATCTCTAACAAAGTAAATCTTGGAGCATTACATGGAACAGATGTCTTCTGTCAAGTAGGGATTTAGGACAGACTGTTTTTCAAGAATATGCAAAAGATGTATACTAATTACGTGTGTACTAAATGTCTGCTATATTTAGACCCTCTCCATAAAAAGTGTGTGCTCCTTCTCATTTCAACATATGTTGACAAACCATTTATATAATATTGTATTCAATATTTAGACCTCCTTGTAAGCACAGAAGAAATCAGCAATGCAGGGTTTGGCAAAATCTTCCCAGCTCCTAGCTCAGATGATAAAATGGAGACCGAAGATGATGACGATGAAGATATGCCATCAGAATTTATTTCTAGACGGGAACTAGAAAAAAGTAGGCTTTCTAGAGAAGGTATCCTGAGATTAAATCTTCTTTTAATGAATAGCAAATTGTATTACATAAATCGATTAACTTAACATGTATTTTTTTTGTTTTTAAAGTATGGGATACATTTCATGACTATTATACAGTATTCCATAATTGTATTTAGAAGCATCCTTAAATTATGTTTTTGTTGCACTGTACAAAAATATAAATGTATCAGGCATAAAAGTTGTTGATTTTTTTTTTTTTTTTTCTTGCCTCGTTCAAGAAATGGAAAGACTTTCTGTTTTCAAAAATTATGAACCAGGTGATCCAAATTGCAGGATTTATGTGAAGAATTTAGCTAGACAAGTTCAAGAAAAGGTAAGTAAAAATTTATCAAGGTTATGTACAAAAATTACATTTAGATGCAGCTGCCTAATCATGTAAATACCTAATAAGGGAGGTTAAATTGGGCAAAAAATTGCAGGCCTGATCAAAATTAATTCTGAGGAGGTGAACTAAGATCAGAAATGGGTTAGCCCAATCTAGTGAATGTCTATGCATTCAGAGCACAGCCCTGGAGCTAGGAAAGCCCATCCTCTTGCCCAGCCCTGAGACTAGCTATTCTTACCCTCCTGCCCCTGACTGGGCTATTTTTAGCTCCCGACCCATGGACAGACATCCCCGTGGACCTGCTAGCCCCTCCGATCCCACCCAACCCCACCTCCCACCCCGAGTTACTTACTCTCGTTTCTCTGTTGCTCCTAATCTACATTCACATGGCTTCATGAGCTGCATAAATGTAGACAAGGTGTAGGTAACAAGTGTATGCACCCCAAGATGTTATGTTGTTTTTACGTTGTTTGCTATCTTATCTAAGCATATTTTTAATTCCAGGACCTCAAGTTTATTTTTGGAAGATACATTGATTTTCAGTCAGAAACTGAACGAAATATGTAAGTTTTTTGATGCTTAATACATTTAAGTTGCATACCAAATTTTACAGCTACAGTTGAAGATAGTTATTTTTACTCATTTTTTTCTGCTTCTAATTTTCGTAAGAGAAAATCAGGCTCGCTAGAAAATATATTCTTGCTTTGAGCAGGAGAGTGTTTTGTAAAAATGTAATAGATGATGAAAACACTTTCACGCTTCAATACAAAAAGCTTAAATCTATCTCACTGAGCTGCAATACCTATTACCGTAAACATTGTGTTTTCTTTGATAGGTAAACTTTCATTTATGCATAGCACAAATATTGAGTAATTCATTGAGTATAAAACCTTACAGAACCATTATCCTCTATTAACCTTTCCATTACACACTATGGACACATGCCTGCCAGCTACAAGTGGAATGACTCTTGCTAAGACTAATACTGTGCTTTAGGTTCCTGTCACTAATGTCAGCATAAATCGGCCAAAACGTGGAATTGTAGTGACTGTGAAATCATAGATGGTGCTAGACATTTCTTAAGTGAGTTGTTTGTGTATGTACTTAATATTTGTTTCGGTGATACAATGACTTCCTGTTTGTGTAGACCACTGTATTTTTTCCAGAACAGGGAATTGTTGGTGTTTGATATAGTCTCATATTTCTATAGTTTAGGTATTACTGCCACCTTCTTTCATTCCATAGTTTGTTGTATTTGCATACATTTGAAATGTAGGCAGGTATGAGGAGTGGCTCAGAGCTAAATTCTTTCTTTCTTTCTAGGTTTGATATACGCTTGATGAAAGAAGGCCGCATGAAAGGACAAGCTTTTATTGGACTTCCAAATGAAAAAGCAGCTACTAAGGCTTTAAAAGAAGCAAATGGATATGTTTTGTTTGAAAAACCTATGGTGGTTGTATCCTTTTGTCAAGTACTTTTATATTAGTTTTTTTAATTTAGGGCAGTTTCCAAGACTTAGTTTCCTGGCTCTTGAGGTCTTTAGTTTAATGATTATGGAAAGAAAATGCATCTCTTATTAAAAAGAGAGTTTTTATTTTTTGTCTGATATGAATCATATGATTGAAAAATATAGGTAGGCTTTCAATTTGCAACAGGAAAGTCTGGGGACTTAAGGTTTACAATAAAATCTTACCTTACATGTCTTTATTATTAATTAGCACTCCTGTCTTCTAAACACTTATATGCTTGACTTAACTGTTAATTGCCCTGTTCATTTCAGTATAGTTACTCACACATTTGCTTAACTTTATTTGTAAGTGTCTGCAGAATCGGGGATTATGGAAAATTGTGATTTGGTCTCTCTAACTTCTTTACAGTACAACTATAGGTTGTAGTTGGGGGGAGTGTTCCTGTTCAGCTTTTAGATTCAGATAAAATCATGTAATGTAACAAAACTTCAAATCCAGAGAGTATTTTAAGAGAGACTTCAGTGATAAATCAATTGCAGAAGCAACCAGAGGAAGAGATATTGTTGTATTGGGAAACGGGTAAAAATACCACTGTATCACTAGCCTATCTTACCCCACCCTGTCCCAACCCATCCATCCTGTTCCCCTCCCTCCCCAGCATACAAGTACACTCAGATCAAGGTGATTTCTCCTTTTCCCATGTTTGGCCTTAAGGGAGAAGGGGGTGGCTGCAAGTAGAGAGAGTTGCCATAGAGAGACTCCAGCCAGTAGGAGTCTTTTAAGATAGGTTTATTCTCTAAAAAAGTATTTACCTTTTAGAGGATTAACATTTCTGTGCTATAATTTGATTCTGGTTTCTTGCTAATAATTTCCACTTGCACCTCAACTTGGAATCCTTAACAGAAGCTTAGCAATTTGCTCGATCTGCTAGACCAAAGCAAGACTCCAATGAAGGGAAAAGAAAAAAATAGAATAATACTAAGGGTAAGTAGTTTTTAGTGAGAGAGAAAACAGAACAGTTTGAGACTACAAAGAAACATTTTCCTTACATAAGGCCCTTTGAACAGTTTTCTGTTCCTTTTGTCATCAGCATGTCTAGACTTAGTCATCCTGGCATTTACATGGCATTTTGGTTATCTAACTGCCAAAAATGTCACTTCCACACAGGTTGGCATTCTGTTTATGGTTATGTAACACAGTGCACAAGGGTAACTATGTATGACAAGTAGCCAAGGCCTGTATGCATGCCCCTTCTTGATGTGTAGCAGTCTTGAATGCCCCAAAATGGAGTCAACCAAAACCTGATTTTAGCCGATTATTAAAAAGTCATATCAGCCAATACTGATCCAACTGCCAGTATGCAGCCTGGCAGCTTGGAGAGTAGCGTCTAGCTGCTAAGTCTGTTGGATGGTTGGGGTAGGGGGAGGGAGGGAAGGGGTGTGGCCGGGACTGATGGAGGGCCCTGTGGTGAGGGAAGGAGTGGGGCTGGCGCAGGAGCAGGAGTTGCCTGGGTGAAGCATGGGACAGAGCTGCAAGTGGCTCATCCACGGAGCGGGGTTCCCGCTGCTGTGTGCAGCCCCCGGGGGAGGCACAGGGTACATGTGCTTACCGGATTGACGCGCAGGGTGAAGGCAGCCTGCTGCTGTGGAGCCCCCCCATAACCTCCCTCCCAGCACCATTGCTGTTCACCCTGAGCACAGCCCCAAGGCTGACCCCCTTCCCCCCGTCCCCCGCCACTGGGAAGACCCCAGCATCGCCCCTGTGCCCAGCCTGCTACGGCAGCCTGCCTTCACCCCACACACATCTGGGGTCCCACACCCCAGGGGTGCATGCACCGGCAGGAGCAGTGTCCCATCCCCATCCCCTCCACCCCAGATGAGCTGCTCGTGGCTGTCCCGCAGCCTGCTCTGGCTGGGCAACAACTGCCCCAGCCCCACTCTGTTCCCCATTGTGGGGGCCTTGATCTCTTTCGGTGGCCAGATTGAACGAAAATTGTCACTTCTGTCTGCACCCATAGATGACTAAATCTGGACCTGTAGATTACCAGAAAGAATAAAATGTCATCCTATGTTTCCATTTATTGGTAAGCTGGTATTGAAAGTGAGACTGTCAGTATTGCTTGGTTAACCTTCTGCCTCTTCCTTTAGAAACATGCTAACCATGTCCCAGTACTCAAGTCCTAGCATTCCT